CGGGGCGTCCCCAGCCCCCCCCACCAGCCACGTGGCTGCCCCAGCATGGGAAGCTCAGGTGAGGCGGGGAGGGCACTGCAGTTTACTGTGGCATGAGCTCCAGGTGGACTGCAGCTGCTGCTGCCGCGACACAGCCCCAATGGGTGAGCCCAGAGCTGGCGCGGGGCCCAGGCTGGTGGTGGGGGCGGGTTACAAACTGGTGCTGTGTGTGGTGGAAAAGCAGCCCCTCCCCCACCCTGTGCCTGACGCCCAGCACTGCAACTGCTCGTAGCCCGCGTGGGGCTGTCTGTGCCTGCTCAGGACAGTGCTGCGTGGGCTGTGAGCAGCTGCAGCAGGGAGCACTAGCCACGGGGCAGGCGAGAGACTGCTTTTCCCCATGCTTTGCACCAGCTCCTTCCCTGCCAGCAAGCAGGGGGTCGGGGCTGTGCGCTGCCCCCCGCCTGTACCGCGGGGCTCGGGGGCACTGGGAGTGAGCAGGCACAGGAGCACAGGACCTGCACCAGTGTCCCAAGGCCAGCGCCAGCAGGGCCCAGAGCAGGGTGGCAGTGGTACAGGGTCCTGGGTGGCTGGGGCTCTATGGAGTCGGGCCAGCTCCCCCTCTGCACTCTTCTCTGGGCCCCAACGGTACTGGCCCTGGGACATTGGTCCCAAGACATTGGGACATTGGTCCCAAGATGGTGACCAGGGGGCGGGGCTAGCCATGAAGCCCTTGACAGCTTGCCAAAACTGGGTAAGTGGCCCTCCGGCCAAAACAATTGCCTGCCCACCTCTGCTCTGGCAGGTAGGGCTAGGATCTTGAATGACCTGGATTGACTTGAGATATGGTCCAGAATCAGCTGAATGAGATTGAGCAATGAAAAATGCAAGGTCCTGCACTTGGGATGGAATAAGTTCACGCACAAAGGCAGACTGGGGAATGAGTGGTTAGGTTGCAGAACTGCAGAGAAGGACCTGGGGGGTTACAGTAGACAATAAAATGAATATGTTGCTGAAAAAATACAATTCAGTATGCTGTTGGCTAACGAGTGTCACTTGCAAATCAAGGGAAGTGATTCTTTCACTCTGTTCAGCAGTAGTGAGACCTCACCTGGTGTACTGTGTTTGTTTTTGGGCCCCACACTTGAAGGCTGTGGACAGCTTGGAAAGAGTCCAGTGCAAAGTATCAAAAATTATTAGAAGCCTGGGAGGCAAGACTTACACGGGAAGGTTGAAAAAACTAGGTTGATTTAGTCTGGAAAGGAGGGTAGGGTGCAATTTGATAATAGTCTTCAAATACCTGAAGGGCAATTAGAGGATAGAGGTGGGCTCTTCTCTTTGACCATAGGGGACAGGATTAGGAGCAATGGCCTCAAGCCTGCTGCAGGGGTAATTTAGGTTGCGAATTAAGAGAAACTTTCTGGCTGTGAGGGTGGTCAAACATTGGAACAGGTTACCTAGAGAAATTGTGTAATTTCCATCCTTGGAAGTTTTCTGGAGCAGGTTAGACACTTGGCTGGATGGTTTAGTCGGAGATGCTTCTGCCTTCAGCAGGGGGCTGGGCTAAGTGACCTTCTCTGGCCCCTACTGTCCTATAACCCTTGTTGACAAGGAGCCAGAGCTGACATCTGGATCTCTTGCAAGGCCTGGTGGTTTGGTGAGAATTGGATTTAAATAATCTGTTGTTGGAGAGATGTTTGTAGTTGTGGGGCTGCCAGTATCTTATGGACAGCAGATACCTGTATCTATGAACATGCCCAGTCTTTTTTGGATCCAGTCTTTTTTGGATCCTGCTCAAGTTTTAGACTCTCTTGTGGCAAAGAGTTTTGCATGTTAATTAGGCTCTGTGATTTTTTTTTTTTTTTTTTGGTTACGTTTTGAAAACGGGTTTCCCTTTGGAGTAATTCTTTGTTTTAATCATGAAATATGATATGCTTTGTTGAATTTCTTTACCAGTTTTTATTGTACACGTACTTATCTTTCATCTATTGTCAACAGTCATCATCTTAGTCTTCTCTGTATGTAAGTTTTGAAATGTTTCTTTTACAGATCGGTCAATTAGGCCACTCTTCCCAGCAGGCTACTACTATGATACACAGGTAGGTTGTGCTCATTATATTTAATGATAATCACATTTGCAGATTTAATTTGGAGATTGTTTCAATGGAAGCCCTAGGAAACGATTTTGGACTAGCATTCATGATGAATCCACATTTTGCAAAATAGTATTTATTGCTGATGTGATAGAAAAATTAACAGCAGCATCCTTTAATCATTCAGTAAATTGCTTTGTTTTAACATGTGCCAAGTGTCCTATGTTATTAGAAATAGTTACTCTCTTGAACTGGTTTAAATTCAGACTAGCTATCATAAGGAAATAATGCAATTTATATTTAGGGAGCAAGTCATTTTTACTCAGTAACAGTTTAATTGAAATTGTGTAGCAATAATAATTCTTACATTGCACAGCCAGTAGAATAGGATATTCAGCAAACTTAATTCAGGATTCCAATAGGTTTTTTGTTGCAAGCTTGTTCTTGATTTTCCATGTCTGACAGAGATGCTCCACTACTTCCCCGTGGTGTGAGAATAATCCTGAGTATTTGAGATCCTTTTAGTTGTTTTTTTGTGAACATTTAAAGGCTGCTCACCATGAAATGTTGTTGATCACACACTTTACCCCTCGTGTCTATTTCATTATTTTGGTTGTTAAGGTAAGCACATACGAAGTATAGATCCATGGTTTTCAGCCAGGGTTCCATGGTTCCAGGGGGTACCACAGCATGGGTTCCTGTTGCCACAGCCCTTCCAGGGTCCCGCTCTACACGCATCTCCTGGAAACAGGTACATGGGACAGTTCCACCTGCCCCAGGCATCTGTTCCTGGGGGACACCATGCAGGGTCAAACCAAGAAGGGCTGTGACAAGAGAGCACACCCCTGCTACAGCTGCTTCCTAATCTGGCTCTGCAGAAGGGACATGGCGTGGTTGTACTTGGCTGCAGTGATAGCATTTCTGGTGAAAACCATTGACTTGCGAGGATGATACGTCTTGCTTTTGGCCCATTCCCTCCAAGTCTCTGAGATGATCTCCTTGCTTGCCACTGATTGCTAATTACATGCTGCTTGCTTGTTGTATTAAACCTGTTTGCTTAATATAATTTTAAAGGGCAGCCTTCATTTGAGAGAAACTGTTTTGAGCTCTAGTAAACTCCTTTAGTATAAGATCATCGAAAACAGCTCCTGCAGACTTTCTGCAGCAAGCAGGTGGGAAAGATATGCAAATTAATGAACTGTGTTTTAACCACTGATGCTGGTCAAAGCTTTAATCCATCTGGCTTAGGGGCTATATGAATGGGGTAGGAAGAATGAAGGATGCTTTTGCACACTCCCCAGTAACATCCCAACTGTTAATCAGCCTGGTCTTTAGTCCACTGTACAGTTTGCTTTTAATAAAGCTCCCTGGTGCCTATACGTGGTTACTGGCACAGACTGAGACAAGTAAGCACTCATTAAAGTGCAGCCTCTGCAGAGTACTTTTTGCTGCATTGCAGCATTTGCTGGCCTGGAATGATGGGGGTGGGTAATCGGAGGTGGAAGTTGGTCCTTTAGTCTTTCAAATGAACTCTTAAATGTCTGTATGCCTGGCACTGCGTGCATTAGTGACTGAAGCACTACCATGGTGGTTCTCAATTATGGTACCAGCAAATTCAAAGAAGTCAGATGGGTGTCTCTGATAAGGTTGAGAACTACTGGTACAGATAAAGATAACCATATTTTAAGGACCAATTCTTGTTCTGGCTTTGAAGTTCTTGGTGTCACATATTAACATTTTTCTTTACCAGTTAATTGATATATGTATTTGAATACTTTTCATTTACTTACATGAGCTTGTGCAAGTATTAGGCAATTGCATTTTATAACCCTTGCAAATATATCGTAAGTAGAAAATAATGCAAGAACTTTGAGCTTGTTTTTGTCTTTCTGTCTTATACCAGATCCTTTGTAATCTTTTAGCAGTAGATGGTATCAATGATCCTGATGTCCTGGCAATTAATGGAGGTAAAAAGGATTCTCTCTTTAGAAAAGGCTGCAAAATATTTTTTGTTTATGTCTGTGTGAACAGTTTATAATCTATTTCATATCTTACAATTTTAGCATCTGCAGCACTTGCATTATCAGATATTCCTTGGAATGGTCCAATTGGTAAGTAGATATTTTAGTATCAAGGAAATAATGGAACAGTTTAGGCCACAAGGACCTTGCAAGCCTAAAACAGTGTCTCTGATTCCAGTGGTAACTTGTAATTTTATTATCTTGTTTTTCTGTCTTTTCTGCGTGAAAGGTCTGCACAAGGAAAAGTGATTAATGGACAACTTTAAAAAGAAATACTGCTACTTAGATTTTCTTTGTAGAACCCAAGTAACTTGGATTAGGAAATTATCTTCTTGTTTTTATTTCCCATGGAAAATAACATTTTTAAAATACATGGCTTATTGTATTTTATTTAGGTTAATACATGCCTATGAAAGCTTCTTCATAGGGTATTGCTACTGCAGATGAACTCTTTGTTTATTTTGTTTACACTTTATGGACACCTCTTTTGTTTCCTCAATAAATATCAAAACCATTCTCTTGGAGGTCTTTCTTCTCCTTTAAAACATTCCTAACCATCTTTTCTTTGTTATTCCAAGAAATAGTTTCTAGTGTACCAGCCCTGTTGGAACATCTATAATTTTCAGTATGTTTTCTGTTAGCCAATCAGTTGGGAAACAGTAAAACTTTATTGTTATCTTATCCCTTCAAGAACATTTTTTTAAATGCTCAGAAAATTAAATTTGATTAAACTGGAGTTAAGGCTGAAAGACTGTGTGTGCAAATACGTTAGAATCCAAGGCAGTGTGGATAGAGCTCTGTACTGGGTATCAGAGGACCTGGCTTTTATTTCCAGCTGTGCCATAGGCCTGACTTTTGGCAAATCATTTTACTGCTTTGTGCAGGGCTTTTTTTCCTTTCTTTATAATGAGAGTAGTGATACTGACCTCCTGAGTAAAGCATTTGGGGCATTTTATATGTGCTTTTACATGTGCTCTGGGACATGGTGCGGAACATTTTAATTAGCAAGCTGTGATAATTAAAAGCGCCTACGCGTTTATGTACCAGCATCCGCGTGATAAAGAAATGGCGGTGGGATGCTTTGAACTAAAGCTCATCGAACATGTTTTATTTCAAAGTGTCATGATGCCATTTTTTCAGCATGGGGACACTGATGCACATGACTCAGAAGGCTGCTGGAGTGTGTCAGTTTCCGTGCTCCGGCAGACTTGATTAAGCAAGTCTGCTCTGACATGCTGGATTTCCAGCATGTCAGAGCAGGCTCCCTGCACATCTGTAGGAGCCTCTAGACTCAGAAGTGAAAATGAATGAAAGCTAAATGGTACTATTTTGGCATTTGAAAACATTTTACTTCCTGAGTAACGTATTATGGCTTTAATTTGTGAATGAGGTTTTAGTGCTCAAATTTTGCTTCATATTTTTTACTTCCTTTGTTTTTTCAGGTTTTGGAAAAACTTGTGTGCAGGGCCTAGTGTCAAAGGAAGCAGGATAGGGGCTCTTTTTACCTTCAGGCACCCTCCTGTCCCTTTCCCCAAGAATTCTAATTGGAGGTTTTCAGCAATTGGAAATAGCTTTCATGAAGGAAACTTTTCCTGACAGATGTTTTACTTCATGTGTTTTTCTTAAATGATTTATGTTCTAGAAAACCCACATCCAAATTATGAAGAAAAACAGGCTGTTAAACAGGGTATAACACTACTACCAGGGATATTATGAGACTGGTAGTGACCCAGTAAATGAGAACATTCAAGGTTATTTCATTTTTATTTAATTTTTTTAACTGTGTTGTTAGAATTTGCATTCTTTTGCAAGAATACCTGGAATAAGTATATTAAACCACTAATATCTCTAAAGAAAATGATCAATTAATAATATGAGTTGCTGTCAGAAAAAAATGAAGTTAAAGCACAGGTATTAAGCTTCAAAGATAACTCCTCTATTTTCTCTGTAGGTGCAGTACGGGTAGGAATTGTTGATGGGAAACTTGTTATTAACCCAACTAGAAAAGAAATGTCATCTAGTATGTTGAACTTAGTGGTCACTGGAGGCCCTCAAAGTCAGATTGGTAAGTGGTTAAATTATTCAAATGGGGGGGGAGTACTTAAAGGAAGTTAATGCGTTCTCATCTTTTAATTGTAACTCTAGAAACGTTTCCTTTCTATAGAATAAATAAGAATAGGTACAACATGTTTTTCTTTTTTTTTGATTTGTCTGAAATGTTTTTACTGAATAACTGAGACCTGAATCTATTTAGACAAATCTTAACTTGAGCCAACTGCTTGCTTATTTGGATTGCATCTTGGACTTAGTCTACTTTATAACTACAATTAATGTTTAGATTGTATTTATATTTCAGATTTTTTTTATCACAACTTTATGTAATCATGCTGTTCCACATAATCAGATTGTGTGACAGTTAAATGCATATTCTGCCCATTAGTTTATATTGGGGCATTTTTTTCCTGTAAATTGCATTGTATGGAATTTTGTCTGCACTGAGTCGCATGTAAATTAAAATTATTCTGTAATCTTCCTATTAATGTTTGCATAAATCCAATGTCTTGGTTTCCATAAAACGCTATTTCTACTATAACGTTTGGAAATAATAGAATCAACCTGATGGTGAACAAAGCAACCAAGCCATTGTTATAAATTTTAACAAATCACCTTACCCTTCGCATTTTCTTTGTGTTAGGTACACTTTAATTGCTTGTTCTATAAGGGTTGAAAAGCATAATGATTAATTGGCTTAAACTTTGATTTGTAGTCATGTTGGAAGCAGCAGCTGACAATGTACTGCAGCAGGACTTGTCCCATGCCATCAAAACTGGGTTGAAGTATACCCAGCAAATAATTCAAGGTATCCAACAGCTGGTGAAAAAACAGGGTACTGCCAAGAGAGTTGTTGAGAATTTATTTGTTGCTCCAGCAGAAATTGTGAAATATACAAAGGAGTAAGTACAACAAAGCAGTTCTGCTTTAAAATGTGTCCTTTAACTAAGCTGAGCTGTTACAAAAGAAGGTGCCACATATCACCTAAAGAGCCAGATTGGGAAGCAGCTGTGGCAGGACACATGTTCTTGCTGTAGCCCTTCCCAGTCCAACGCTGCCCAGTGTCTCCCAAAACAGAAGCACACAGGACATGTGGAACTGTCTTGCATGCTTCTGTTTTCACTATGCAAGTCAGAACTGAAGGGAAAAGCAGCTGCAGCAGAAAGGTATACCTGCCTGCATTATGTTCATAGATTCTAGGGTTGGAAGGAATCTCAACAGATCATCGAGTCCAACTCCCTGCCTAGGCAGGAAAGAGCGCTGGGGTCAGATGCCTATAAAGCCTTCTCTTAAAGACCCCCAAGGTAGGGGAGAGCACTACCTCCCTTGGAAGCCCATTCCACATTTTGGCCACCCTTACAGTGAAGAAGTTTTTCCTGATATCTAGCCTAAATCTGCTCTCTGTCAGTTTGTGACCATTGCTCCTGGTTACCCCAAGAGGCGTCCTGGTGAACAGAGCATCTCTGATCCCTTGCTGTACCCCCCTAATGAATTTGTAGGCAACCACAAGATCACCTCTCAGCCTTCTCTTGCGGAGGCTGAAGAGGTCCAGGTCCCTCAGTCTCTCCTCATAGAGCTTGTCCTGTAAGCCCCTAACCATAAAAGTGGCTCTCCTTTGGACCCTTTTGAGTCTATCAACATCCTTCTTGTTATGCAGGCAGGCATCATGCCTGCTGCACCACTTCCTGGCTTGGCTCTAATATGCCCCCTGAAAAAGGGAGGCATGTGACAAAGTTTTAGCTGGTGTCAGCACCATTTATTTTCAGGCTGCCAGCACCATGGGGTGAAACTGCTCTGGGCGCTTCCAGTTTTCAAGAGGCATGTTAGAGCCAAACTGGGAAGAGCCACAGCAGAAACAGCACACATGCTGGCATCTATAAGGTGGGCAGGTAAGCCCACCTTTCTGCTGAAGTTGTTTTGTCAGGTCAGGTCCAGCATGTTTCCTGAAAAGAGGGGTACGAGGCAATTTCACTGTGCAACAGTGGTAGCATTGTAGCACCCCTGACAGGTTCTTGCACCATCCCGGTTGAGAAGCATTGGAAATGAGCTTCTCTTTGAAAACAGAAAAATATAGGAACCGGTCATTCCAGGGCTTCTGAACCATATAAAACCATATAAACCATATAAAAGATGGGGGGGTTTTGTTGTTATAAAGATCCAGATGAGCCCCACTTACTTTCACTGCCTTTTAGTCAGGGACTCATTCTTTTTATTATTTTACTTAAATATTTTTGACAGACAATGACAACTACAAAGAACTTTTCCAGTTTGAATTTGCACCAATCTTATAGATGAATCCCTCTAAAATTTAAGTTTAAAAACTATTAACCAAAGCATACAATGTTAATGTGAACAGTTTTTTCCAAATTTTATTGTGACAAAATGTTAGTGAAACAGTGTTTTAAATAGACCAAGTTTCAGCATGGAACAGGTGTGCATGTGAATCCTAGATATAGTGTTGTATTGGGGGAAATGTTACACTTACATATAAAACCTTTATTTAAACTTGTGTATATATATATATATATATATATGCATGTGTGTGAAATAAAGTTTAACATGTTTAGATATATTACATGTTTATTATATATTATAATAAAATATATGTATATAATATCAAAGATGCAGTGCTAAAATCTCTGATCATTTAGTAATCTTTAATCATAGTTCCCCTCAGAGTATTAGATACATTCATGTTCCTATTTTACTGAACCTTTGTGTAATATGAAAATTATTTTTTTTGTTTTCTAAAAGACTCGCATCTGATGAGCTATGTAAAGTGTTTAAAGATTTTAACCATGACAAAGTAAGTAGTGACACCAAAATCTGTTTATTTAAACAAATCACATTTGCGTTGGCTTTCTGAATTTTTCTCAACTAATTTGTTTAAATTAAGTTTACTTACCCCCTTAATGACAGCTCCTTAAGAAACCATTGTCATAAGACTAACTTTAGTTCTGCTGTGCATTGCTTATGCAGTAATACATAATGACTTGGTTTTTCTTAATTTAGTTGCTTTTATACAGGCTGAGATTTGTACACTGCAGGATGCTATATGGTTCTTTGTGCTTGAAATTCCATTGTTATCAATGTTCATTATGTTGCACTGCTATAATAATGGATTGCAAATTTTGTGTTTTAGATTTCTCGAGATGAAGAAATTAACAAGATAAGACTTAAAACAGAAGAACAGCTGAGAGGTATTGTACTAATGTTTAGGGAGTTAAAAAGAACCCTACTTAGATTCTGAGCTATTCAGGGTTTGCCTAGGCATAAGTGGGCTCTAGTATTGATTGAGGTCTGTAAGTGTGACAGTGCTATAAAGTTAGATTTTTTTTGTTTAATTTACATTTCATACAAAAAAAAATGCCTGCTTTTGTTTGTCTTCACGTTCCTAGAAGACATATATGGGGTCTTGGGAATGTTTATTGTAAATTTTATACTGTCATTAAAGGGGTATCAGGGAACTGAATCTCTTAAGTGAGACTTCCTTGATCTTAAATATTACTCGTAAGTAGGGATTTCCAGAATTTGCGTCGGAAGTGCACAGCATGGCAGCTCCTTTAATCCTGGAGTTTACTGCACGCACCTCCCTGCCGCTGATGGTAGAGACACCCAATTGTTTGCCACCCGTGCCTGATGGCTGGCAGGCAAAAACCACAGCTCCAGTTTCAGGTGTGGGCAGCAAGTGACAAGGCCCCTCTGCCAGTCAGCGGCAGGGGAGTGCATGAAGGGAACTCCACATTAAAGAAGCTGCAGCGCCATGCACAAATTCCAGAGGTCCTTACTCATAAGTTAAATATATTTTAATAAATTTTTTAAATATCTGACTAAAATTCCCTACCCTACAACTTACACTTCTTGGCTCTTACACCATTATTCACTAACTCCCTTGTTCTCCCACGGGCCGAATAGAATGACCTGGCCACATTTTGCCCGCCCCTGGCCTAGGATCAGAGTGCTGAACAGTTAGCAGTTAATGGTCAGGTAATCAGAATGTGGATAACTGCTGGAAAAATTTTTCCCCTACTTTCCCTGTTGATAAGGAGGGAAAGGAAATGTGATAGAAGAAATATATCCTTCTCCCTCTGCTCTAGCCTCCTGTTCTGAAGGCGAACACAAGAAAAACTACTAAGCAGAAAGGGAGTGGATTGTACAGCTCAAGTTTTCTCCCTTCCAATGTTAAAAATGAAAGCTCTGCATTTGTTCATAACCATAGCAAGATATGAAATCTTCCCCAAGTCTCCAGATTGTAGAAGTGTAAGGTTAGGGTCTCTGTCATCTTACTGACATGGGACCTGTTCAGCCCTGGACTGGCCCTGCTACAATTCATTAATTGTTAACTTACTAAAAATTGTTGTCTTTCCGTAACAGTAGAAAGATAGAATCTACTTATCCTTCCTTTAGCAGCCTAAGAGATCAGTGGACCTAACTGTGGGTCTGCCAGTGTTAGTCTTGCAAGGGGACTGATGGCTCTGCATCTGGTAATAAATGTGGAAGCCACTTCTGTGACTTTAAATAATTTTGCTATTTAGAAGCGTGCTCTAAATCATGTACAATATACAATATAAAGTCAATGTGCATGTTTAGTTATTGAAAGTTAAGAGTTATGCCACTTACCTTCCAACTTTAGTTCTAATTTTTTTGTTATGTCTAGAAAAATTTCCAGAGGCTGAGCCTTATGCAATTATGGAATCCTTCAGTGTTGTTTCAAAGGATGTTTTTAGGAACCTTGTTCTGAGTAACTGTGTGAGGTAAATGTTTTTGAGTCCTTTCTGAATGAATTGTTCTCAAGGAGATTTTTTTCTATGACTAGTTTTTTACTTTACAATTTGTATTTTATTGCTGTAGGTGTGATGGTAGAGACCTGACTTCTCTCAGAAATATCCACTGTGAAGTGGACGTGTTTAATATGCTCCATGGGTCTGCATTATTTCAGAGAGGTCAAACACAGGTAACATTTTGTAATAATAGAAATTGGAGAGAGTTGTCGAACTGGAAGTTTCCACTAAGTAATCACATAATTATGTGAAAACTCCTGTCATACTCATCAATCTGCATTAACTATCCTGCATACTGTCCTACACACTTTACTTGCAACCAACCTGCATTAACTATCATGTACATTATTTACTTTCAATTTAAAAATTGTTGGGTACTTTTAGAATAGGCTTTGCAGAACTAAACTGTTCACCAAGCAGTAGAGACTTAAAAAATCGCTACCAAATATACTTAATTAGAAAAAGATTCCATTAAACAGAATCCTGTAACATCTAAATCTCTGAAGAAGACTCAGTAACCAACCTCATGGGCATATCCACGCATGCAAGCATGGATGCTTGCAGCAGCTCAAATAGAAATGGTGCAGATTTGAGCCATGGCTTTTTGCCTCAGTGCACATGCTTGGACATGCACTTTGTTGTGGAGCAAATTGTGCTACTTGGGGCGAAATAACCCTGCCTAGCTCCTCTCAAATCTGCAGCCAGGGGGAGCCAGCACCTGTGCTGTCCCCAGCAGTATAAAAAGCTTCCCTGTCCTGGCCCCATCAGTACAAAAACCTGCCCTGGCAAGTAGTTCAAGGCTACTCGCTCTCAGGAGCTTCTGGGACCCGGCCAGTTGGTACATGGGGACACTACCCCTTGTGCCAGCTGAACTGCTGAAGCAGCCCTGAGAGTTCCCTGCACCCTTTACCCACTGCAGCAGTCTGGCAGTGGGGGCTGCTGCCTGTCTGTGACCTGCTGCGCACCTGCCAGACTCAAATGAGGCGTCTGCCCCTCTGGGCCAGCTGCCAGTTGACTGTGGCTGCAGGGGTTGCCTTTGTGCGGCACTATTGCCATGTGTGCCCCTGCCTGGCCATCTGGGCAGCTATCGCCCGGAAGGTGTTCCAGGTGCAGTGGCCTGCTTTGAACTGTCAAAGCATGTCCTCCTGGCTCCATTTTTGGTCAGGAGATTAGCCACAGCCAGCTGGGTCCAAGATGCCAGC